AACCAAGCACCTCACTGCCAGCTGCCTGCAGGTGCCTCAAGGTGACCCTTGAGTTAGCTTACCCTTATGAAATCAAGCATCTTTGTCATTTCAGTCTCTGAATATTTCTGTTTCCTGCCTTCTCAGCCATGCTTTCAACAGATATTCTATATGTAATAAGTACACTATCCATCATTTTTAGATGATCTGATCTGGAAGTTTTTTTCTGCACAACATTCTATATTATTTTCTGAATGTTGTTAGGTACCATTTTTAGTTTTAATATTCTTTGAAATAATTTGATATAATTTTTTTTATTTACTATTTATGCTCCATTGCTGAAAAGAATAACTGAAAAAGCCATTTAGACATGGATTTGGTGGGGCAGCTCCATGCACAACAAAAGCTGGATCTCATACGGCAAGAATGCAGTTTGAACCCTCAGCCTGGTCAGCCTGAAACACACCACGCACACATGTGAGTACCCAAGATCAGGTGGGCTAGAGGACAGGAGGATGGGAATCATACCAGACCATACCAGACCCTGTGGAAGGTGCTCATCTTTCTTTCTCTCTCACTGTGCATGCATGTATTCTATTATGACTACATTTAAAAATATTTTTAAAAAAGGATTTAGTTAACAACTATTTTAGTCATTTTGTTTTTTTGCTTATCATACATATTTTACATGAACTAAGAATCATTTCCAAAACACTATGCTTTATTTCTGAATTCTAAGTGTAAATAATGCTTCCAGTATTTATTTTCTCTATCTTACTATAATAATTTTCAAATATACAGCAAAGTTGAAAGAATATATATCTACCACCTAGACTGTACCAATATCATCGTACACTATTGTTTCATTACATATCTGTCTATTCCTCCATTCATCAATATTTGTTTTTGTTGCAATGAAAAGGGCAGTATAGACATAAGTAAATTTCCCCACAAATAATTCATAAACATGGTATTTTTATTTCTAGGCAATAATACTCCCTTTCCCAAACAACTTGCGAGTATTTTAAAAAAACGTAACTCTGTGCCAAAATCACAGTATATCACTGAGTCACAAGATAATAGTCTCATAGTTAAGAAGAAGGGTAAAAAAATGGGTAAGTCAGGTGGTGTGGTGGTTAAGGTGGCTGGATCCCACAAGGCTGAGTATGCAGTTTGAATGCTGGACCTAGTGGCTTTAAAAACACACCAGGCACATGTGTGTATGTGCCCAAAATCCCAAGAAGAATATGGAGGAAAAGGGACTGTGGCGTGACCATCTCACCTGGGGGGAGAGTGATTGTTCACGTTCCCTTTCTCTGTCTCTTTTCACCAGGAGCCTGTGCCCTATAGCAAACAAACAAACAAACAAAAAACAAAAAAAAAAACTTAAAAGAAAAGGAAAAGTATATTAAAATGAATGATTCATTCTTTATTACATGTTACATGTCTATCTCAGTAAAATAAGCTTCATATGTGACACATTTATTTAAAATGTTTGCCCTTTATCAATATTTAGGAGTTCCTAATACAGTTTCTATTTGCTTGTGATAAAAAAACTGTTACTTGTTAATAGTTCCCTGTTCTGTACTTCTGAAATACTCTTCAATCTCATGGTGCCTGAAAAGTGAATGATCAATCTTTAGTTTAGGCAAAGTAGCATTTGCCTTCTTTATGTACATGTCTTTCAGTTTAATGATTTTATGGATTATACTGTACCATCTTTAAAATTTTTTATTATAATAAAAATTTTATTTAGTTACATCAAGATTGTGTTTCTACTATGTTCTATCTTTAATGTTAGCAGCATGATTTACATTTCTAGCAGCATTTCTTTATGAAAATTGATCATATGAAACACATAGAAAAAGATGTCAGAAACACCCATGAGAAGTAATTTTAGATTATTTGAGTTTGGTGGAAGGGCTTCAGGTAATTTTTTGTACTTGCTGAAGACAAAAATAGCAAGAAATGTAAGAATGTGTCTTTGGAATTCCTCTACTGTCAAGACAAAAACAAGAATGTGTATTTATCAATCTGTCTACTTTTAAGTGAATGACAATTTCCAGTTACACATTTATTTTAATAATCAACATAATATACTTGTCTATATCACAAATAGATGCTATGACCTCATGCTTTATATGCTGGAGGAAATTAAAATCACTATAACATTTTATTCCCATTTAGAAAAGACTCTGATCCTGGGCCAGTTCTGTGATGCAGGAGTAATATGCTGCTTAAGAGAAGCCAGATCAGACTACGATTTGGAATCCTGGGCCCCAAAGTGGCCTGATACACACGGGGCATATACATGAGTACCCAGGATCCAGCAGGCTGGAGGACTATAGTACAGGAGATTGAGGCATCTCCAGAATCCTATCTCTCTCCCTCTCACTTGTACATCTCTGCCCCATCGTGAATAAAGAAGGAAAAAAATATCCAGTCTAGACTTAGGTATATTCAGTCTCATCTGAATGATTTTAGCTACATCCCTAATCTAATTCCTAATCTTAGTGGGGGATCCTTTCCTTCATTTTTAATTTAAAATTCTCTATGATGGCCTTACCATTTAGGACTTATTCATTAATTCATTCATTTATGATTTATTACTCACTTACTTACTTACTTAAGAATTAAAATGACTAGCCAAAGGGCAGAGAGTAAATCAAGTCTAGTACTTCATGTATATAAAAAGGCGCTTAGCCTGTTTCTTCTTCCCTAAACAGAACTTTTCAACAGCAGATTAAACAAAATAATGATTCCAACTACAACTATTTCATATAATTAGTCTTAAACATGAATATCTACAGAACACTGTGGCTCCTCAAACCTTAATCAATCTAAAGTCCCCCCCTCCTCTTTTTGAGCAGAGGAGAGTATTCATCAATCTGAAAGGCGCTTAGCCTGTTTCTTCTTCCCTAAACAGAACTTTTCAACAGCAGATTAAACAAAATAATGATTCCAACTACAACTATTTCATATAATTAGTCTTAAACATGAATATCTACAGAACACTGTGGCTCCTCAAACCTTAATCAATCTAAAGTCCCCCCCTCCTCTTTTTGAGCAGAGGAGAGTATTCATCAATCTGTCTACTCTTAAATGAATGACAATTTCCAGTTACTTTACAAAGAGGCATCTAATATATATATATATATATATATATATATCCACAATCCCTTCTCCTCCATTCTCTTCTCGGGATCTTGGGCATGCACACACACGTGCCTGATGTGAGTTTAAGCCACCAGGTCCGGGATTCGAACTGTGGTTGGCTACATGGGAGTTCAGCCACATAGCCATTACACTAACTGCTGGTCCCGATAAATGCTTCTAAGGAGAGAATAAGGAACAAGAAACTCGGCCCAATAACTTGTTTGATCTATGCAAGCCACTAATCTATGATTTAGTTTACTCATTTGTCAAATGATAATACTTCTTCTTCTTTCTTTCTTTATTTTTTTTAGAAGTTTTTGCTATAGGACACATGAGCTCGCCAGCCAGAGAGAGAGAGACAGGGAGACAGAAAGTGAGAAATCACTCCCCAGGGGGGATGGCCATGCCGCAATCCCTTCTCCTCCATTCTCCTCTCAGGATCTTGGGCACGCACACACACTTGCCTGGCGTGAGTTTAAGCCACCGGGTCCAGGACGCGAACCGCGGTCGACTACGTGGGAGTCCAGCAACATAGCCATTATGCTAATTGCTGGTCCCGAATGATAATACTTCTTTAATAAGTTTGTTCTAAGAAGAAAAAGGAGAGAATATACAGGGAAGTCTTTAATAGAATACACACTGAAATAAATTATTAGTAAAATTAATACTTAAAATTAACTCTGTGATATAATACTTCCTTTGGGTATGGAAAATTCTATTACTTTCTTCTTTTTTTCAAAACCATTTTATTTCTTCCACGAAAAAGAAAGAAGGAGAGAGAGAGAGACAGGTACCCCCAACGGAGTCCTCATGCCACAATCCACCTCTAGCCCAGCCAGCCTATATAACAGACACATATATCTACTGGTAGACCTTAAATGTGAAGCCAGGACGCACTAAGGTGGTCTGACATCACAGAACGCTGTGTTACTAATGAGCCACTGCTGCTGGCTGAAAATTCTTACTTTCTCTTATAAAACATATTATGTACAAAAGTAATTTTTAGTGAACCCTAATATATACCACCCATCTTAAGAAACAGAATATTACTGATACCTTGGAAGTTTCCCTATATCTGTTTTATCATATTTCTTTTCATCTACTCCAGACTATTCTAAAATTTGGTATTGAGCACTCCTTTGCTTTTATTTACAGTACTGCCATATTTTTTGGTATCCTTAAATGTTTATCTACCCATCCACTCATCTTCCTTCCTTCTATTCATCTATCTCTTTGTTCATCTACCCATCTCATTCTTTGTTTTGAATTTTATATATGAAATATGCTATATATACTTGTCCTTTAACTTCTACAATGTTTTACTCAGAGCAATATCTTAATATTATTATCTATTTTTTCACATAGTTTCTAAGGTTAAAGGAAAATATTGCTAAAAATATATATAAATAAATATATTTAAAGCAGAGAAAATGAGGTACAGTGAAGTTTGAAACTTACCACATTATATGAGATTATGACAAATTTCTCTACAACAATTCTGAAAATAAAGCAGACTACTGTCTCAGAACTTTAGTGCTCATTCATATTTTTAGCTTCGATTAAAACAAAAACATTTCTCTAGTGCTAAGAGCACACAATTTAGTTAATATTTTTATGTATTTTGTTTTCAAGTTAAAGGAGAAAATATTACAAAGAATGCTGATGATGTAAAACCTTAAAAATATTCAATTATTTTCTTAAAAGGAAAACAAGGGTAAATTAAATAAAGAATATTAGAGATCTGTTTTTCTTTTAGGAGTCAAACTGTTAGGAAACAGTCATATTATGGGATATTCTAATTAAAGAAGATGGCTCTTTAAATACGTAATTAGTCTGACATTAACTGATTGAAAAATACCATTCACCTGAGCAAGTGGTGGAAGAATCTCCTTGCATATTTGCTGATTTGGTCTCTGTATTCCAATATAGTTGCATCCAGAAGTGGTCTTGTGGGAGCATAGAAGGTTCCAAGGCTTGCCTCAAGCTGTGCTGTGGAATTCAAACATAGCAGCACTAAAACAAGTGAAACTCCTTCAATTACAACAGAATACTCATGTTTGCAGTCAGTCAGGTTTTGCGAACTTGGATGAAATGTGAGCTTGTTGCAGGAAAGATGAAATTGAAATATGACAGCTGGTACAAAAACAAACCTGTGTATAAACTTTCACTTGAGGCAAAGCTGACAATGACTCTGGGCAACAAAAAGCTGTCAAAACTGAAGAAATCCATAATGAACCAACCTCTCACCACAAATGGGTAATTAAAACAGTGACTCATCAAACTAACACAGTTTGAACTAGTATTTCCAGTAAAATCAACTCAGTGTGCTCAACATTTACTCTCTTTAGCTGAAAGGAGAAAACTAACCTTCTTCCCATCAGGAATTGAAATTCGTATAGTAAAAATGTTTTAAAAAATAATACGAACAAAAATAACCTTAATGGAATTAGAATATCTTTCTATAACAATGTTAAGAGAACAGTGAAAGTCCCTGTATCTTCGCTGAATCCTGCCTTAAACAACAAGATTCTAGATTTTGTTCAAGTGTGAAACTAACACCCCTGGAAGAGGAAAGAAGAGTTGGATAGCAGGTTTTAATAAACTGGAGGGCTAGATGTCAGGGCCGGGGAGGGGGAGGCACATTTTGCCCACTTCACAGTTTTACCAAGACATGCCTATGGGGCTGTGTTTCATCTCAGAAATACCTGGAAGTTTGGTAATTACCATAATAGTAAGAGTATGAGTATGTATGAAAACACTACAGTTCACAGTAAGACTCCCCTGATTTTTATGCTACTAACACTGGGTTGAATAAACAATTCCTTATTTAGTTTTAGGCATATTTGGGTTTGAAAGTATTAAATACCTCATCAGAGTAATTGCTATGGACTTGACTAAGCTGTTAGTAATTTCTTTTTTTAATCTCAAATCTAGACACTAAAGTAAGATGAACTTTAGGGATATTTTCTTTCAAAGCAGCAGTCAATTTAGATTAAAATTGAATACAGCAATGCTATTGTGAAAACAAGCCAGATTCTCTTGCCATTGCTTGTTTTCTTGACAGCATGTTTCGTACATCTGAAATGTTCAAACCTACATGGAATACTCGTAACTCCCAGCACAGTTATAGATTCATTAGATAGCCCAGCTTGATGTTTAAGGCAGAAATGAAGATCTCAAAGATAACCACAACACAGCTACAAATAAAAGAGCTCACTGGGTTCCACTAATAAAAGGAAAACAAATTACCATGTCAAATTTGTTAGATTCAGATAGAATAAATCTCAACAGAGAAGAATTCTGAATGTTTTAGAAATGTGTTTTATAGTTACTTGGGGGAAAATGCACATACCTACTTAAAATGTACATATTCTGATAGCTCAGCATCATGCAAGCATTTCATTTTAATAGCCTAGTATCATACAAGCTTTTTATTTCCCTATCTCCCCAATATGGTTCCTTGAAAATATCCTTTATTAAGGCAAGAATCTGATAATACCCATTTGTGTATTCCCTAATAATCTTTCTTACAACACAGTAATCTTACAACACAAATACACTAAGGGCTAGCAGTTTCTCAATGTTCTAAGGGTCAATATTTCAATATTTTATCTTTTCTATATTTCTTCCTTAACTGTAAATTTAAGATCTCTTATATAGTGTGTATCATAGTAGGCTTTCTTTTTCTTTTTTTTGGAGAGGTTTTTGCTATAGGGTGCGTGCGCTCGCCAGACAGACAGAGAGAGGTAGAGAGACAGAAAACGAGAAATCACCCCCCAGGGGGGATGGCCACGTTGCAATCCCTTCTCCTCCATTTTCCTCTTGGGATCTTGGGCACGCATGCACACACATCCGGCGTGAGTTTAAGCCACCGGGTCCAGGACTCGAACTGCGGTCGACTACGTGGGAGTCCAGCGACATAGCCATTTACACTAACTGCTGGTCTCAAGTAGGCTTTCTTTAAGGATTCTTCTTTTTAAAAAATTGTTTCAGTATGTACCCAATTTTCAGCGTATATCAATACTAAGAAATAAAATTTAAGATAATTCCTTTTTTCATTTGTAAAGAAAGATTTTTACTAAAGGGGCGTGCACTCGCCTGAGAGATAGAGAGACAGAAAGCAAGAAATCACCTCCCAGGAGGGATGGCCACACCACAATCCCTTCTCCTCCATTCTCCTCTTGGGATTTTGGGCACACATGTACATGTGCCCAGTGTGTACTGGGTCTGGGACTTGAACTGCCATCCAGCTATGTAACCATTATGCCACCTGCTAGTCCCTACTTAAGATAATTCTAAAGGCATATATATTAAAATAATACCTTGCACTCTAAAATATTGGAGTTATATTCTTTTCTCTTTAATATGTATTGAGTACCTACTGTGGGTCAAGCACTGTAGTAAGTACCTTCTCATTGTAAGAGTACTGAAATCTCCACAGATGGGTGGGGCTATCTCCAAAAACCACATGCAATTAACATTACTGTGGGCCTTCTCTGAGCTGGGTCAAGACCCATGATACAGACTTCTGGGAGGAGCATGTTCTTACTATCTGCTCTTCTCTAAAAAATCAAGGTTACTTACAGAATTCTGTCCAAACAACTTACTGTTTATTTTAGAAAGGCAATAAACTAGGGACCAGCAGAAGGTATAATGGTTATGTTGTTGGACTCCTACATGCCTGACAGCAGTGTGAGTTCTGGATCCAGTGGCTTGAAACAAACTGGGCACTTGTGTGTGTGTGTGCCAAAATCCAGAGAGAATGGAGGAGAAGGGACTGCAGCATGGCCATTCCTCCTGAGTGGGGATGATTTCTCATTTTCTGTCTTTCTGTATCTCTCTCTGTCTCTCTGCACATGCCCGCTAGCAAAAGCAAAACAAAACAAACTTAAAAAAAAATGCAGTCATCAGTAGATGGCATAATAGCTACAAAGCTGGACTTCCATGTAGTTGGCAATGGTTTAAGTCCCAGATCCAGTGACTTAAAACTCACACTGGGTACATGTGTATGCATGCTCAAGATCCAGAGAAGAGAATGGAGGAGACAGGATTGTGGCATGGCTTTCTGTCTCTCTGTTTTTCTCTGTCTGTCTGGCGAGCACATGCACCCTATAGCAAAACTCTCTCTTAAAAAAAATGCAATAAACTGGAATAAGAAAATCTTATATATAAGACCGCAAAGAAAATAATGCAAAAGAAAAACCTTGCCAGTAAGAACCTTTTGACACAGTTCCTTTCCTCCATACTTTGTAAATTACTTAGGGTTGGTTTCTAATTGGCCATGATTTCCCATGAAATAAAGATGCGAATGCTAGGATGTTTAGGTTCATTTTACATTAAGTAAAAAAACTCGTAAGAAAAAAAACATACTGTATAACTGTCAAGTATAAAGATTTATTTCATTACTATAAGTAATATATCCTTTTAAAAAATCTTACTTCTCATTTGACAATAAACATCTGAAATCCCTACAGGCAAAATTACTTACTGAGCAAAGGAAGGGAAATGCAAGCAGGCAGAGGGAGAGGGACATCAGAACTACAAGTTAGAAGGATGAAGGTGAGACGGAGTAGTCAGGCTACTCTTCTGACATACACAGTGAGTGTTAAGGACTACTACTTGGACAAAGGACTTGGAAGTAAAAATAAAATGTGCATAGTTAACATGAAGGCGGAATAAGGATCTCCATTTGAGACCCTCTGTCTACCAGACCCTAGAAAGTACATGAAATTTCTGATCAAAGTTTGAACTATGAGCATAGTCACACACATGACCTTAGACTGAATTATACAATCACTTCATTGTGAGTTCTAACACAGGCATATACAGAAAAGTTGTTTTTTATGTTGACAAATACTAGACAGTAAGTACCATATGGGAGCAATTATTTGATATCTGATCCTTTCGGTTTTAATAGGGCATTAACATAATTATAAAAAGTCCTCAAAACTTAAGCAACCCAATAAAATGTACTTCATATATATACAGAACCCATTTATGAAACAGATTCCCTTCTAAACTGACCTTCTCTCTCTGGCGTGAGCTTCTGTCTGAGAAGATGATTTACAATGGCACTCATGCTGATGAAACACTGGGGGCCCATAGTATCCCAGTTCATGCCGCTCAGGATGCTTAACGCCTCACAGATTTCATCACAGTGAATATACTGGAAGATGATGTCAACCAGGCCCAACTGTCCTTGAGTAAAGATACCTGTCATAAAACATGTAAAACCAGGGCATCTTTAAGAAGAAAAAATAATAAGAGCAGAGTTAACTTTTCCATAAAGGAAAAAAAAAGAACTGTAATAATTTCTCTCTCTTTTTTTTTTTTTAGAGATTTTCACTGTAGGGCGCGTGCGCTCGCCAGACAGACAGAGAGAGACATAGAGACAGAAAGCGAGAAATCACCCCCCAGGGGGGATGGTCACGCCGCAATCCCTTCTCCTCCATTCTCCTCTCGGGATCTTGGGCACGCACGCACACGCGCCCGGCGTGAGTTTTGAGCCACCGGGTCCAGGACACGAACCACGGTCGACTACGTGGGAGTCCAGTGACATAGCCATTACGCTAACTGCTGGTTCCCAAGAACTGTAATAATTTCTTATGTGTTAGAAATATGCGATTGATCTCCTTCACAACTAACATTTGCTATAAAATATCTTGGTATAATGAACACATTTGTTTATCCTTTTAAAATGAAAAAAGATCCACTTTGTATGTATGTGTGATAGAGGCTGACTGCACTTGTCAGGAGAGGGACAGTGAAACAGAAAGGGAGAGGAGAAAACACCCCGAAGCAGAATAATCATGCTACAATCCTTCGCCTCTCTCTCTCTCCCTCCTTTATAGAGATTTTGGGTATGCTTGCATACATGCCAGGTATGTTTCTCAAGCTGCCAGTCCAAGACTAGAACTACACAGTTGGCCATATAGGATGTGGCTGCCTCAACCCTAGGCCATGGAGCTGGCTCAAGATCCACTCCTCCCCCATAATTATTTAATTTTATTTATTATTATTATCATTGTTCTTAAATTTGCTATAGGGTACACGTGTACTCACCAGAGAGAGACAGAGAGAGAGAGGGAAAGTAAGAAAGTAAGCCACCAGATCCAGGACTTGAACTGCAGTTGACCATATGAAAGTCCAGTGCCTTAACCACCACACCACCTGCTGACCCTCCAAGATCCACTTTCAATCTTAGAAGACTACAAATATAAAACAAAGGTTGAAGGGAAAGCACTCTGTTCCAGTTTTATTGTCTTTTAAATATGGCAGATCTCTTTTTTTTTTTCCCTTTTCTTCTTTTTTTTCTTTTGGAGAGGTTTTTGCTATAGGGGTATACACTTGCCAGAAAGAAGAGAGAGAGAGAGAGACAGAAAGTGAGAAATCACTCCACAGGGGGATGGCCACACTGCAATCCCGTCTCCTCTATTCTCCTCTCAGGATCTTGGGCACGCACGTGCACACGCCCAGCATGAGTTTAAGCCACTGGGTCTGGGACTCAAACCGCGGTCGACTACATGGGAGTCCAGCGACATAGCCATTACACTAATTGCTGGTCCCATGCAGATCTCTTTTAAAACCAATAATTTCTGTGTATCAAATGACAATAAGTACTATGGCTTTAAAAGAGGTTTTTGTTTTGCTTTATTTTGCTTTTCAATTTTTAAAAAATGGCTATTGGGTTGGCCCCACAGTGCAGCAGTTGACTACAGTGTATGGGGAGCTGGATTTTACATGGCTAACCACAGTTCAAATTCTGGCCCTAGTAGCTTGAAAAACATGCTGGGTGTGCGTGTCTGTATGTCCCAAATTCTCAAAATCCTACAGGATGTAGAAATGGAGGCAAAAGGATTGTGGCATGAGGATATCTCATTGGGGGGTTGCTTGCTTGCTTTCTATCTTTCACTCTCTCTCACTCTCTGGTGAGTGCACTTACCCTCTGGCAAAACAGCAACAACAAAAACTCAACTAGTTGTCAAGTCTTTTGTCTTCAGTCAGCATTTACTGATTTAAATGAGTCTAAAACAAATTCTCAATACCAATAATCATAAAACTAAATGGGAAAATGAACATGAAATTACTTTGTAAACTATAAAGTATTATAAAATATTACTGTCATTTATTATTATCATCAGCATTAACTGAAGTAGTTACAGGTTTCAGGATTTTTAAAAATCCATTAGTTCACGAGAAAAATGCTGAAATTCTTTTTTTTTTTGGGGGGGGGAGAGGTTTTTTGCTATAGGGCACATGCGCTTGCCAGAAAGACAGAGACAGAGAGATGGAAAGCGAGAAATCAACCCCCAGTGAGGATGGCCACGCTGCAATCCCTTCTTTTTCCTCCCGGGATCTTGGGTACGCATGCATTATGTACCCAGTGTGAGTTTAAGCCACTGGGTCTGGGACTTGAACTGTGGTCAACTACATGGGAATCCAGCGACGTAGCTGTTGGTCCCAAAAATGCTGAAATTCTTCATACTAACTGTAAGTGACATCAAAATAAAAATTTGTACTATATCTAACAGGACTGAACTTGATAGAGAATCTGGAGAATTGCCCTGACTATACTAAGCAGTAAAACTTTACCATTCCTTTTGTGTTGGTAATACAGTGGATATAACTGTCCAAAAGCCTTCATGAGTCTGTAGTTAAGCACTGGAAATTCTCATGAACCAGGGTGGTTCCTTGGCAGTAGATACTAATTAATATATGAGAATGTTGCAGGAAATCAAAAATATTTGAAACCTGTTGACTCTATACCCTCAGCAATACTTCTGCTAGTAACAAAAGAACTGATCTGTTGAGAAGAAATGCCAATATATAATTATAATAAAATACTACAAAGGTGATAATAGAGAAAACCTTAAAAAGCAACCATAGAAAAGACACAGGATATACAGAGAAACAAACATGAATGATCATAGACTCTGCTTCTGAAATTATGCAAACCAGAAAACAACAGTAAGGCATTTTTCAAGTGCTGAGAGATAAAAATAAATTAACCTACAGCTCTAAAAGGTAGACAAAAGGTCTAAAATTCATGAACAACAATCCTTAAATGCACCTAATAACAGAGTTCTGAAATAATAAAGCAAAAACTGACAGAAATAAAAGGAGAAAAAACCAAGTCTATATTTATAGTTAGAGATTCCAGTACTTCTCTCTTACTAATTGAGGAAACATGTAAATAGAAAATCAGTAAACAGGGGCTAGCTGGTGGCTTGGTGGTTAAGGTACTAGATTCCCACATGGCTTACTGCACTCTGAGTCCCAGACCCAGTGGCATGAAAATTGCTCATGTGCATGCGTGCCCAAAAACCTGAGAGGAAAAGAGACTGTGCTATGGACGGCTCCCCTGGGGTGGCATGGGAGTTGATTTCTCACTTTCCCTTTCTCTCTCTCTGGCAAGTACACATGCCCTATAGCAAAACCAAAACAAAACAAAGAAATAAAAAGAAAATCAGTAAATATGGAAAATACTTGAAAAACACTATGTATTTGACCTAATTGACATCTATAAAACACTTCACGACAGAAAAAATGCACATTCTTTTTTTTTAAAAAAGATTTATTTCATTCAACTTTATTTATGTATGCATTTTAATTTGTCGGGGGGGGGGAG